GTGGTGAGTTTGGTTATTTGACAGTGAACTCAGTCTCACTGTTCTTTCTTTTTTAGACTTGGTGAATATCAATAAAGATTCGGATGAATTCAAGAAAATTTTGTGGCGTAAAAAATGCATGCAGCTGCATGTCAACGAAGTTGCATTCAGAGGCAAAACAGATCTGCCATTTGAAGTGAAGAAACTCCGAACACCAATCGAGTTTTTTTCTTATTTTTTTACCGACGATTTATTCGATCTGATTAGTTTGGAAACCAATCGAGCAGCAATCACAGACAGTGTGAACACAAGATTCAAAACTGATAAGCATGAAATTCGTCGATACATTGGAATTTTGATTTTTATGTCGCTTTCCCGTTACCCAAACATGGAAGCACACTGGGGCAAATACGGGTTTCGACAAATACCAGACGCCATGCCAAAAAATAAATTTGAACAGATAAAGAAGTATTTATCGTTCAACAATGAATCAGAACGGGTCAAAAAAGGAGAACCAGGATATGATCCTATTTTTCGAATCAGAAAAGTTGCGACACATTTGAATGAGCGCTTTGATTCCATTCCGAAGAATGCACGATTATGTGTCGACGAGCAAATGTGTTCAACTAAAATGGTGCATCATTTGCGCCAGTATTTACCAGACAAGCCGCATCCATGGGGCGTAAAGTTCTTTGTTTTGTGTGACACCAATGGCTACTCGTACCGATTCGAAATTTACACTGGAGCAAAGAATGATGACATCATTTTGGCCGGTACACCAAACATTGGAGCAACAGGCAATGTTGTAATCCGGTTGTCGCAAACTGTGCCAAATTTTCAAAATCATATAATTTATTTCGACAACTTCTATACATCTCTACCGCTTATGGTGTACCTTAGAGCGCGTGGCATTTATAGTCTTGGCACGGTTAGAGCAAATCGTATCCCAAACAGTAAACTGCCAACAGACAAAAGTGAAGAAGTGAAAAAAGCAGAACGAGGTTATTCAACGGAATACATTGGATCGGCTTACGGTGTAGAAATAACGACAGTTCTGTGGAAGGACACGAAGAATGTCAAACTGTGCTCAACGTATGTTGGCACCAATCCATTCAAAAGAAGCAATCCAGTCACCCAGCCAGCAAAAGTACCACGATACAATCGAAAAGAGAAATCGTATATTGACGTTGATTGTCCGGCAATTATACGGGAGTACAACGCGCACATGGGCGGAGTTGACTTGATGGATTCTTATATGGGTCGCAATGGACTCCAAATCAAAACGCAAGATATGGCAACCAGAATTTTTTACCATCTTCTCGACATGGCCATAACGAATGGATTCATTTTGTATCGGCGAGCCAATGGTGAAAAGAATCGAGAAGCTGAAGACGAAGATATGAAGATAAAAGACATGACGATGTATGCGTTTCGTTCGAGCATTGCCGAAGAACTCTGTGCATCTGTTGAAAAACGACCCGTTGGCCGTCCACCATCCGCTGGCCGTCCACCATCCGCTGGCCGTCCACCATCCGCTGGCCGTCCACCATCCGCTGGCCGTCCATCATCCGCCAGCTCACAGCCAAGCACCAGCACTATTGGTAAAAATGCAATCCATCCATTGGAAAGTATTAGATACGACGAAATGAATCATTTCCCTGAATGGGGAACGAAAAAATCATGTAAATTGTGTAAAAAAATCCGATACACACACGTTTTGTACCAAATGTAACGTACATTTGTGTTTTTCCAAAGCAAAAAACTGTTTCAGAAAGTATCACGTAAGCGATTGATTCATTGTTTATTAGTATTTACCTGTTTAGGTTAAGATATTGACAATATACTTTGAATAAAACCAAATTTTTTGTACCTCAATTATACAGTACTTGTTTCATTGATTTTGACCTAAGTCACTAAGACCGTCTACAGACGGTCATTCACCTTTTCTATCTCACGTCTCCAGGTAATTTTTTTTTGACAAACGGACTTCAAATTCGTAATTTTCAGCCCATAATCATCATAGAAACAAAATTCCCATAACAAAATAAATCGTATTTCGAGTCCAGTGACTTAAGGGTTTCCCTTCAGACCTTCATAGAACAATACCAAACAAAATGTGTATCTCTTTTCCAATTCATTTTTAACTTTTTCTAAATAATTAATTTTTAATTCAGAAAGAATTTTATCAGGACTTTCCTCCTCTATATATGATTGGAATATTTAATTTTTCCTCTCTAACTCTTCTTTGTAATGAATTTTCATATTTAAATAGAGAATTTTTCAAATTTTCATAATTATTTTGAAAATAGTTTCTTTCAACAATCAAATCGATTGACTTTTTTTCAAAAATTTCACACTTTTCTTTATAAAAATCTCTTTCCCTCTTTAAATTTTCTATCTCTTACATGGTCATATTCACTGAAAACCATAAAAACAAAAACAATACTTTAAAATACTCGATGAAAATAAAAAACTAAATTTAAGTACCGTTGTAAAATTCAAAAAAAATTCTATTCAATTTTCAATTTTACATCAAGCACTTAAATCTATTTTACATGGTTTTATTCAATTCAATTCAATTTGTTAAATTTTAATAAAAAAATATGAAAATACAACTATTACTTCTAATAAAGAAATCATTTGCATTTTTCGAATTACAAACAAAAAAGAAATTCTCATTTTTTTTTTCTTTTTTAATTATCGAAACGAAAATGAAATGGGATTGGAGGCATTTCTGGAACTTCACTGGGTATTTCTCCACTTTCGGATCGACTTATTACACGATATTGAATTGAAAATCCTTCTAATTTATAATCCCTATCAGTTGTATCAGGCTGATTTCGAATTAATGCCCATTCATTCAATATTTTCATTCTTAAATTTAAGTAATACAATTTTCTCACATTCATTTCCCTATCTTCAGGATATAATCTAAAATACTGAGTACACACTTCTGGAGTAAAGTTATAATCATTTGATGGTGATGGATTTAACTTCTGATAATAGAATAGCCACACTGCAATTATGTTCCATAAGAGACTGTATAAAATGCAAAACTGTAGCACAGCTAGCGCCACTGCGTACAGCTATGGAGTTCTAGCCTATTGTTTGTAACTGAGCAAAAGTCTTTTCACTAGTGGGCAGCAACTTAGTATAGATTACATTGAATTCCGTCGTGGCGCTAGCTGTGTTACACTTTGAGCATAATTTCGGTACGAGAATAGCTCAAGAGCAAAAATTCCAAATTGAGCATTTTGTATTCCTCGAAGTGATCTTATTAGGTCAATACATTCATGTCTCCAATTTGGAGATAAAGTTTCCCTTTCTATTAAATTTAAAACCTCTGTTCGCCAAGTTTCACCCATTTTTTTTCTAACAACATGATTTAAAAAAATTACACTTAAAAAAAAAAAAATGCAAATGATTTCTAAAAAAACCTTCAAAAACTACTATCCATACTCAAGGAAATAAAATATATACATATATAAAAACTTACATTGAATAGAAAAGGACCAATAGTAGAGAATATTAATTGCTTTCATAATCCTGGAAAAATAATTTACCAAAAAATTATAAAAACTTTTGAGTTTCATTTTTTTTT